TCTAACTACAGTCCCGCCTACCGCCAAGTTTTGCTAATGTACCGAAGAAAAAAAAAAAGAGAGCCTATATCAACATAATATATTTATAGGCTCTTTTTTCGTTCTTTTTAATTATCTTCGCTTTATTTTATTTTTTATCAGTTTTAAAATGAGTGTCAGGTTTCTTTCTTTCTTACTTTCTTCTTTTCTTTTTTTTTTTTTAGAAGAATATATATGATTATAATTTGCGCCTTCACATCAACATCCACCATCCGCCACCCGCCAGATGTCCTAGATGTATGTTCCTTATTTAACTAACGTAAACGTACCCCGCCGATCGCCAGCGAACTGACCACCAGAGGCACACATTGCACCCACACACAACCCCCCCCCCCCCCCCCCCCCCCCCCCCCCCCCCCTCCGTTGGCTATTTGATAGTCTTTCTCCCACGAGAAAGACAGAGAGATACAGAGAAAGAGAAAACTCTCGGTTTTGAATACAAAAGCATGTATATGTATACCATCAATAAAAAGACACTTTTCAAACACAGACTGGACAGCAGAATCATGTTCCCTGGCGTTGGGCAGTCGGGGCTATACAACAGAGGAACCCCGTTGAGCCGCCAGCCCCGCTGTTCCGAAAACTCCATGCTCGTCCCAAGGGTGGTGGTATAACGGGTTTTTTGTGGTACTTACCAAGACACCAAAAACGTTTGCTGATCTTTAGATCTGTGACAATAATCGGAGAGCAGAAAAATGTGATCAATTATCTCGAAGCAAATGCATATCAGTCCGATTGATCTGGTCTTGTCGGTCATAATCGAAACATCGTTGAATTGCATAGAAAATTACGTTTCTGGAGTACGCCATGGTAATGCTGTCTGCCGTAGTGAGCAAAAGGAGTGTACAATTAGGTAAAAGTAAGCTTTCGCCCTATTTTCTGAACCTACTTTACCTACTACTACTTCGCACATCTGTGAGTGACATCTTTTGGCTCCCCGAGACTTCATGCACGAAGGACGGTTTTAACGTATTTTAAAGACTATCCGGTTAAAGTTTACTTTCAACAGCAATACTTCCATGAGGAAGTCTGTTTTAGCAAGTATTTCTGTCTTTCTGCTAGGATGTTGTATCCAGATCTTTACCGCGACTTGACCGTGACAGGCGGGGTCGAAAGAGCCTGCGTCCTTTAAAAAAAAAGAAACAAAGGCCAAAAATGTGTTGAAGGAAGCGTTATTTATTTACAATAATTAATCAAAGTTTTACACCTTGTTCATTGCGCGCAGAGCATTATACCAGGTGCCCATTTGCAGGATCGGATCGATTCTAATCGAGTCAGGTCGGGTTCAGTCGATTGATAATGGCAGCTTCAGTATACACTATAAACCTTGTCTCTTGCTTAATCAAATTTGATCCAAAGTTCAGACAAAGAAAACTTTATTCAGATCCACATCGTTGACCCCTCCCCACCCCACCTAAACACACACACATACATACATACACACATACTCACGAGTGCACACACACACACACACACACACACACACACACACACACACACATACACACACATACAAACACACACTCACGAGCGCACACACAGAAACATACACACATAGACTAACACAGACACACACACACACACAGACACATAACCCTACACACACGAGCGCGCACATAGAAACACGCACATGCACATACGCACATATATAACGCACACAGAAACACACACACACACATACACGACACATTCTCTGTCTCTGTCTCTGTCTCTGTCTC